AGGAGGACATTACACAGCCACCATCCTGTGCAGTGAGGACAAAACCTGGTATGAGTTTAATGACGCTCACGTCAGCAAGGTGAGGGGGACTTTACTTCCTCTACTCCATTAGGGCTGTACACACTCAAAACAAACCAACAGAAAGATTTGAAATGAAATGCTAATTTGTTGACAGTGTTCATTCTTTCAATGATGCAGGTTAAACAACAGCCATTTGCAAAAACCTCAACTTACAAGTAAGTTAAATATTATCAATAGTGAATGAGATTTATTACATTTTCCAGAAGTGTTGACTTGGTTTTGTCATATTTTTGTTGTTCTATGCAAACAGTAACTTTAGATTATTGTTCACCAGGTCCCAGACTGCATATCTGCTCATGTACAGAGGTAAGATTAAAGGAGCTATATGTAAGAAATCTAAAGCAAATAGTCGTAAAATCCTCCTAATATGTCACAGAGACTAAGGAATAATGTTCATATAACATACTGATCTCACCAACAACAATAGTACAGCCAGAATATTTTCATCTAAAAAATTTTTTTGCAGTCTGCAAATCATGTTTATGTTTTGAATTTGTGTTTTGGCCTGTTGCGCCACCCACCGCCGTCTACCAGTCACACAGTCAGTAGAGTCTCAGCATCAGTTACAGTAACGACTGAGCTACAGCAGCACGGCAAGCAGCATTAGCAGTGTCCTGGTACATTTGGCCACATTCTTACATACAGCACCTTTAAATCAAAACATAAAGAAATCATTCAGGCTGTAGCTGCAATATTCATTGATCATTGCTAAATCCTTTTTTTCACTTATTTTTTCACTGATGGACAATGCACTGCAAAAATAGGAGCTGAATGATTTGGAGCAACACAATGTGGAGTTTAAAAGAAGTGGAGGAGAACTGATAACTGAACACTGATAATGCAAAGAAGAGGAAAATGGGACAGACTGAAGGGGATGATGTGCAGACGAAAAGACATGAGGCATCAGGCCATCAGGCTGGAGGAGAGGAGGGTAATGCAGAAAGAGTTTTCTCAGAGAATACAGATATGTTTTGAATGTGCAGAAAGTTTCTAACATGAGCAGGAATCATGCTGAAAGATGTAGACCTATGAGCTATTTAAAGGTGCTGCATGCACATTTCAGTATTTTCATATTCACATTCAGGATCTGACCAAACGTCTCTCCTTCTGTTCCTGAGATATGACATTGAGTAATATACTGTAAGTCCTTTTGCAGAACATTGTGATGTCACAGTGAAGCTGACCTTTGACCTTTTGGATATAAACTGTCATCACTTTTTTGTTTTATTCTTTCAGACATCTGTGTGAAATTTTGTCGTAGTTAGCGAATGAATTCTTGAGTTATGACCAAAAACATTTTTTACGAGGTCACAATGACCTTTGGCCTCCAAAATCCAATCAGTCGTCACTTATGTCTTGTGGATGTTTTTGCCAATTTTAAAGAAATTCCCTGAAGGCGGACAGATGGACAACCTGAAAAATTAAAATTAATGCCTCAGGTTACTGCTGTTGATGGTGCGGAGGCATACAAAATATCATATATATCCAATCTTGTGTACATACATGTTGTAGCCAGCAGAGAGGTTGTGGTGACTTTTGATGTGTTGTGATAGTGATCAGAGAACGTTTTATTTTGTTTGATTCTGATGATGTTTTTTCCGTTTAAAGACACATCAGCTCTGATTTGATGAATTTAAAACATGCACCAACTTTGTAAAATTTTAAACATGAATCATACTTTGATAAAAATGTTTAACATACTGCTATGTTATCAATCAACCACATATAACCAGCGAAATGTTGCAGCACTGATTTTAAAGAAAAACTGGATTTCCAAATACTTTGAAATTGTGAATAAAGACAATAAAAATTTAAAAACGCATGAAGATTTCTGTGATTTTATTCAGTGACAAAATGTTTCTCAATCGATTGTGAATCCAAAGTGAACTTTTTCAAGCACTTTCACTTTGTAGATAAAGAATTTCTTGCATTTTCTTTATATGCGCCTTTCAAAGCACTCAAGGACACCTTACAAGACACAAGATGGTTAAAAAAAAACAAGCAGCAATGTATCCATAAATCATAAAATCAAACAAATGCAGCAATATACAATAAAAGTTAATAAAACAACTATATAAAATCATAATTATAAATATTAGGTATAAAAATCATAATAAGATCATCAGTGCAAGAGTCAATATGTAATATGTAGACTGCGAGACTCAAAAGTTCACTGCATAGTGACTGACAGTACAATAAAACAACATCTCAAAGCTTCCTAGCACTAAGAGTTGCTCCTAGTGACAAAATTCTAAGAAAATTCTTACAATTGTGACCCTTTTTTACAAATTCCCCTTAGAGTTAAGACTAGGTCCTTGTAAAATAAGTTATTCACAGAGCATCCTAGACCTTAAAAGAGCTCCTAAGTTGAAGAACTGTTAGGAGCAGGGAGGAGGACTTTTAAGCAGAGGAGAAAATGGTGGAAACACAAAGAGGTCAGAGAAATATTCTTCAAACTCTGGATGACAGTGTGTAAATGAGTAAATGCTACAGGTGAGATCATGCAGGGATAATATGTGTGGTTGATATCATGTGGGATACGCACACATTACCCACCCAAGGCAATACAATGGTCACAATACTAGGACAGAAAACTTGAAAAACACAACAGTGCAGCAGTGATGACTTGTGTCTGTCTCAACCTTCCATCATCAGAGTGATCACACTAACACTGACAACACTTTCACAGTCAGCAGTTGATTTCATTTCCACTGGGTGTCCACAGCTTACAGGCTCACAAAAGGGCGTGTCTTTGACAACCAATCACATCTGTTAAAAGAATACATCATACCTCTTGTCCTCACTAAGGTTAAAGTTTCTGTCCCTTCCTTGCTCAGAGTTGCTCTGAGAACTTTCCTAAATCACTCCTAAACTAGGACTGTCACATCCGGTATATATCAACAACCATTAAGAGTTTACATAAAAATTACAGACAGACCCATTTTTTCACTTTCTCTGCCACACAGGTGAGTTGTCGACTTGAATCCATCAGCACACCTTACATTTCACTGTGACAACTTTGACCTTTACATTATTTTTTATTGTCTCTCTTGGATGACGTATACTTTTAGTAATGATTTGAAATTTGAAATACATTAATTTCAAGAGAGACTCTCACTGCAGAAAATATCAGTGTGCAGCCTCGTTCACCGTTAATGAGGAAATACAGTGAGTGCTGGACGGAGCAGTAAGTGACAACAACCCCGCCCACATTTAAGAACACTGTTAGTGGTGGAAACACTAGGGTCTAGGTACCATGTCTGAAGGGTTACTTATGGTTCCAAAGCCACCCTACCAAAAGTGTTTGGTGGAAACCGGGCTTAAATCCTCCGACTTAACCTTTGAAGGAACAGTGTGTAAGGTTTATGGGGATTAAGTGGCATCTACTGGAGAGGAATGCAGATTACAACCAGCTGAAACTTCTCCTGGTTAGGATTCCTTCAGGAGATTTTTACCAGGAGCCAAATTATCTGCAAGGGTCTCTTCCTCTCCAGAAAAAAACGACCAGGCAGAGGGACTGCTGACTATGATGACTGACACAAATATGTGAATTGCCCATATAGAACCAGCATTTGGTTTGTCTGCTCTGGACTACTGTAACAAACACAAAGTTTGTTATTTTCAAGTGATTATACACAAAAGAAAACATACTTATTATAAATATATTCAATTTCTGCCAATATATCTCCCCAAATCCCACACACTGGGCCTTTAAATTGATTGCATCTTAAATGCCTACCCCTGAGTCTCACTCCTTTACACAGTCAACACTACAGGACCAGGACTGCCACAATACCATCCATAAAAATGAGGGAGTATGAGCAATGGCTCCTGATGCATCTTTGTTAAAAGGGAAATTTCGGTTTATTTCAACCTGTCTCCTATCGTCCTAAATTTGTTTCAAGTGACTAGTGACATAGAAATAATAGTTAGCATGTTAGCCGTTAGCCTAGATACAGCCGGGGTGCATAGTAGCATCAGACCTGTTAAAACCTAAGTGAACGGGCATACTTCAAGTGCAAAGTTAGTCCACTAAACAAGCTTTTTTTCCACAAAGACCGCCTCATATCGTTAGGATAAATGTCAGAGAACATATAGAAAACGACATGTAAACGTGTTGTCTTACCTTACCGGTGTGCTGCCATGTTTGTTTACCATTTAGCTAGTGTCTAAGACATAAGATACTTCATCCAGCTGGCTGTGACACCACAGTGTGAGAGAATCAGGGGTGACAGCATGGCCGCAGGACATCTCTGCTCTGAGACTGTCATCATCATCATCATCATCATCTACTTACTCACACTGTGGTTGCTGTCTTACATTGATTTTAAAGGAAGAAAAGATGGTAAAGAAAAAACTGTAGCCATATGATGACGAGGATCATATCAGATAGATTAATAACACATTTAAGCTACAAAATAGCATGTCCACATGTACACATTACATCACAGAGCCCCTGCATTCCCTTGTCTCAGTGACTGTACTCTGTGCAATGACCATGAAAGTGAGTCTAATCTAATCCATGTGCAAACCAACATGTAAATTTTCTATAGGTGGCTATTTGCAGCCTCAGTGAGCACATGACTGTCAACAACCAGGAAAGAGGACACAACTCTGACAGTTGGTGCAACAAGCAATATGAGACTTTGTTGCTTTGTTCTCAGGTCTCTCTTGAAAAAGAGATCTTGATCTCAATGAGACTGCCTGATTAAATAAAGATTAAATAAAAAAAAAAACTTCTTATAGAGTCAGCAGCAGTGTTTAATCACCTGAATATATGAATCATTGGGTTTTTGTTACCTCAGGATGAACTGTATATATCTACGTCTATTGAGGTCACCATGTTGCACCTCCATGTTTGTACAGTAGCCCAGGACAAACATCGGCTCCACACTGGGACATTCACATTTTTGTCTCGGCCATCATAGTTAGCAGCCCCTATGTGACAAGCAGCAACCCAGAAACACTGATTTGTAACATGACACTAAACACTGAACACTGAATGAAGCAGTGTTTTTACTGGTTTTAATCACCTGGTTCATTTGTTTTAAAGAGGAGGAGACCTCTGTGGATAACTCAGCTCACTGTAAAAACCTCCTAAACAATGAACTCTGACAGAGCTCTAACCGGGAGCACACCTGGGAGAAGTTTCAGCTGGTTGCTGCCATTAGATGCCACTAAATTCTGTAGACGGTTCCTTTAAAAGAAGTTGTGCACAGCTTGTAGCCTGTAACACTGACATTCTCCTCTGTACAGCGAACATCCATCACAATGAGTTTGTTGTTGTACTCATCCATGATCTCTACAGCTCTGTGTGAGCACCAAGACGAGTGAAGTCCTCCACAGTCTGCTTCAGGTTCAACTTCTCCACTCATTCATTCTCAGAAACATAACCATTCCACTCAACGTCTCCGTCCCAGCACTCCTCAAAGTTTTCTAACATTTTGAGCCGACTTTGCAGTCACAGCAGAAAGTCCTGACACACCTCATCGACCTTGTTCACAGCAGACACTTTGACCTGTCATGGCAGGAAGAGCACAGGTGTTAATGATGACGCTAATGACGGCTCTGTTGTGTTCCAGAGTCTCAGTGAGTGTGACAGAGAGGCAGCATGCACAACACCAGGGCCCTGAAATCAAAGCAGCTAAATGGAATTCAGTCATTGTTAATGTCATTATTGACACCTGGTGGGACATGTTAAAATGTCTCCAGTGAAAAGGGCCTATTGAAATTATTTGTGCACTGGATGCAGCAGAAGCTTGTTGGTGACGCAACATCCTGGGTCTTTTTTACTTGTTACACCTTTAGGGACTGTTCTCTACTTGTCAGAGGAGGGGTTGGCTTGGGTGTGACACTGGGCGAGAGGCAGGGTGCACCCTGGACAGGTCACCTGACTATCACAGGGCTGACACATAGAGACAGACAACCATTCACAACTCACATTCACACCTACGGACAATTTAGAGTCACCAGTTAACCTGCATGTCTTTGGGCTGTGGGAGGAAGCTGGAGTACCTGGAGAAAACCCACACTGACATGGGGAGAACATGTAAACTCCACACAGAAGGGCTCCTCCAGCCCAGGGTTCAAAGTAGAATAAAGTGATAAAATATCGTTTTTGTTTGTTTTTTTCCTCTGGTGGAAGCATTCCTCACACATGATGCGTTCAAGGACCACTGTATATTTGAAAATCCAGTGATAATTTCTGTTTTTACAGTCTCCAGCTATGAGAAATGGTGTAACTTTAGTTTTTTTAAGGAAGACGTGGCATGTTTTCTTTAAAAAGTATTAAAACAAATACAAAATGCATCCATTTAAATTTCTGTGCCCCTCCCCTCAGCCAAAGTAAAAACAGAAGTCCCTCTCCAGTGCTTAAAAAATATTTGACATGCCTCCCCCTTTTGGCACCACACCTCCCCCCTAAGAAGTAACAAACAGTCCCTTAGCACGCTCACTGGGTGGTGCATTACATCAGTAGATGGAACCTAACGCTTCTTTTAGACAAGAATGGAACAACCCGTTGGCTGTGACATGTAGGCTACAGGTGCATTAACATGCCAAAATGATACGTTTTTAGGTGTGAACCATCTACATAATGGTTAAGGCAGTGGTTCCCAACTGGTGGGTCATGGGCCCATCCTTGGACCGCAAGCGACTTGCAAACATGTCAAGTTTTTTAAGATTTTTTTTTTTTTTTTTAAAGTACAGTAGAATTCCAGAACAGAGCTTCTACTCTTAAGTGTCGTCTCTGCTATAGAGTGAGTGACTAACCAACAGCTATTTGACAGAGACAGAGGTTGGACCAGTTGGGAACCACTGGGTTAAGACATTTTTCTCCGTTCTCACACAGTTCATCAGGTCTTTTTAATTTGACTTTTCTTATTACTCTGTCAAGGATGTGACTTGAAATGTACAGAAGTACAATATATGAGATAAAAAGTACTCAAGTAAAATAACGGATTTTTAAAATATACCCAAATGCTAAAATTACAGAGAAGGTTTGAAAGGTGGATGAGACTCTGATGGACAGTAGGTGAGAGCAACGACCAGAAGATGGCGCCATTGTCTACAGGTTTAAAGGCGTACCTCCATGACCCCAGAATGTGGCTTCACAGTGCAAATGTATCCAGTAACAGTCAGAGCGACACATAGTCCAGGTTTCAGACACTTTATGTCCATAATACATTTATTGATAACACAGCTTTTCAAAGTCATTGCTATCACCTCTGTGTCTGAGGTGTTTTAACGTAGCATTTTATCAGTAACCAGCAACGCTCTGAGAAGTTAAACCCTCTCTTCCTCTCACTAAGTACATTTACTCAAAGTAGCTACTGCACTTAATACTTCTACTTCTCTACATTTAAGAGAAAAATGTCCTTGTCACTCCACTAAATTTGCTGAAATTAATAAAAAGTTTTTTTTTGGGAACAGATACGTTTTAAGAAGTGATTTAAAAGATGTCACTGATTCAGCAGGCGTCAGATCCTCAGACTGGGAGCTCCAGAGCTGAAGGGCCTCAGTCACATGTAGGTTTGAGCTGGGACTAAGCCATGAAGTGCTTTAAAAGTGAGCGGTAAAATCTTCAAATCGATTCAAACACTGACTGGTAACCATGGAATCATGTCCTCTGCCACACAGGTATAGAGGTCTGTCTTGGTGCGACACCACTGGGGCAAAGTTCAAAATATGAGGATGCGTTCTTCACATCCGCACACTCTTTAGTGAGCTTCAGACACACAAAACAGAACTCCACCTTACACCGCACACAATAAATGTTTTTACAGTAAGTTCTATTATGCTCCACCAGAACACCACAGGTGGGACAGGCACGGATGGAGGGACAGCCAGTGACCCCCTCCACATCCTTGAAGGTGATATCCGGGCAGTTTCTCAGTATTTCCAGTGGGTCTTGGCAGTCTGCATTCCCACAGCGGTCTGAACGTGGAGCTGGGCCTTTCCACTTCTTCAAACACTGCCAGCAGAACAGATAAGCCCTTCTTCTCCTCGCTGTGCACACTGGGCACTGGACGCTGAGATCATGGAGGTCAGTTCTCATCACACGAGACTGGCATCCAGGACACTGAGGAGTGACGTTATATGAAAACACAATGACATGTTTTTACATTCAAACTTTTGTGATGAATGTAAAAAATGTGATTTCTATCGACAGTTTTTAAATAATGTAACTGAGATACTCACCACTTTGACATCCAAGTAACTCTCGCCAGTGTTGCTGAAGATTTTACTTTCAAAATAATCCCTTTCTTCAGGGGTCAGAAGAGCCATTTTACAAACCTCCTCAAAGGGCCACTCAGCATCACAGCCAGTCTGGCCACACACAAATCTGCAATCACCCTTTAATGTCATAAAAACAATCGAAGAGAAAAGTTTGAGTGGAAAATGAATGTTTAATGTGTTTCTTCTATCAGCTAAGTTATATACCTACTATAACCTACAATAAAGTTACTCTTGTATTACACATGCTGCCGCTATGCACTTTGTCAGAGAAGTTAGTCACTAAAACATGTTTAAGTTTTGTGATGAAGGGAAGGTGATGACGTCATTAGTGTACCTGATTAAGCAAATTTAGACACCAGAGGGTGAGAGACATCGGAGTGACAGCATGACCGCAGGACATCTTTGCTCTCAGAGACTTGAAGTCATGACACAAAACTATGAGACACACACACACACAAGAAAAAATGTGCAGTGTTACAGGGTACAATTAGGAACTTGAAATCCAACAGTAGGCAACAATATAGCTTTGTAAATGTAAAACTTTGCTACTTACAATCCATTTCATCCTCTCCTTGTACAAATGTCAGCGTGGTGTCCCGAGGGTCATAACATTTCTCTCCAGTTGTTCCTCTCCTGATGTCTTTACTCTCCTCCTCTCCATTCATGAATCTGCTTCTCAGCTCTTCAAAGTTATGAGCCTTCTCTTCAGGTGGCAAACGCCTGCTTTGTTGAGAGTCATGACTCCTCTGCCCCACAATTAAGAATCTGTGTCTAAGTCGCTGAAAGTCATATCTCCTCTCCTCTAAACGTGCCATGTGTCTGCTTTGTTGAGAGACATGACTCCTCTCCTCTAAATGTATGAACCTCCTTCTCAGGTCTTGGAAGTCATAACTTATCTCCTCTTCAGATTCTTCTCTGTTTTGCAGAGCCATCCCTCCTCTGTGTGCAGTGTTAGGGCTCCTCTCTGCCTGTCTTCACTCAGTGTATCCACACTCTCCTCTGACAGGTGACTGCCCTGTCTGCACAGGTAAAGAGGAGGGCGGTCCGTCTTTCTTAAGTCATGTGATTGTAAAGTGACAACCCTTTTTAAATGTTTTTTTAGAATCTGATGGCTGCCCAAACACTTGAATATTAAATAGAATATTAGTGGTTAAAAGATAAATCAATGAAATAAAAATAAAAATAAAAAATAAAAATGAACCATGTTTTTTTCTCTTAAATTGTTTGCACATTTAAACACAAAAGGCTAAGTGGTAGAAGACACAAATGGAGACAAGAGAAGGCAAAGTAAAGACAAAAAGTGATGACTGTTGAATCCTATTGTAATTAAAGTTGGTGAGGGATCCTCTGAATCAGATGACAATCATTTTTGTGTTCTGTGTTTTTATAGGAATGACTGAATTTGTTAAGAGGTGTTAAATGTTGGTACCAAATCAGGCTGAACCACAAAAACATGCTTTATATTTACACTGGAAATACAAAGAACATCCAAATCATGGTAAACCATGACTGAGTGTTTGATTTGCACTGAGGGAAGTTTTCTTCTTTTACCGGTTAGTTATTTGGACGTAATACATGGAAGATGTGCTTCGTTATTACTGTCAAGCAGGTGGTTTTCTATTTTTAGTCTATGCTTCCTTGAGAAAAATCAAAGTCAGTAATTAAATGTGTCAGTCACAGATGTTTGTCACAGTCAAAACTGACACTTGTAAACTAATCAGATGACAGAGCATCTTGAACAATTAGTAGCTGCTACAAAACCACAGACAGACATATCCCTCTGTGGAATTATTCATAACCTTGGATACAAGGAGTCACAATGTGTTCGTGAGAAACACTGAATGTGACGTGATTTATGTTAAAGAATCAAGCTAGTGTAATTAGCACAAAGCAAATTAGCAATATAAATTAAATAGAATAAGGGGTCTAAGAACAGACCCCTGTGGTACACCACCAAACTGTGCCATTTCAGATGTCCATACATTAACATTTACATATTACTGCAGAGCACCTTAATATCCTCTTGTTTGAAGAATCAAGGATTTCTACAGAAGACTGAAAGTATTCCTGCAGATCAAAACACTTTCTGATCAGCAGGGGAAACTCCTAGTACCTGAAAGTAGTTCGGCAGCATTCTCTAAAAACAAGAATAAGGATGTGGTTATAATATTCCGTCAGTGATTGGAAAAGAATCAAGTACAAAAATATTTGTGCTACATTCTGGTGATGGGCAGGAACAAATATGTAGAATGACCTGATTCATTTAATTGTCTAATCCAAACCAAACACACTGTGAATATTATCACACAGGTTGCCTCTGCATTTGACTTTGAGACTGTGCCTTACCTTGGATTGTTGTGTGCTTTGTGTGCTGCTGTAGTTGCCAAAATAAAAATAAAATAGTCAAACCAAAGGATGTGGCATTTTCTCAATTTTATTACAGTTTCATGCACTAATGTAATATTATACTCAGATTCATACTGGAAAAGACAAAAGCAAATAGAAAATTGCAAATTTTAGCAAAGCAGAAAGATAGTTTTGTTCTTACTGGTTTTAATCGCCTGGACCATTTGTTTTGGAGAGGAAGAAACCTCTGTGGATAAGTTGGCTCGCACTAAAAACCTCCTGAACATTGAGCATTGAAGTAATCTTAACCGGGAGTAATTTGAGCTTACTGCAATCTTCAATCCTCACCACTAGATGCCACTAAATCCAACCCGGTCTCACTCTGAAGTCGTTGAAAATCGGCGCTTGGTCAATGACTTCCAACATCAGACACTGACATAAAAAGCCACCCATTCATGCTGGCATGATATGTGGTCGGTCGCTGTTATTGGTTACTGGTGCAGGGGGAAACACAGTGGGACAACAACAAAAGTTAAGACGGCAGTTTGTTGATGAAGGCAAAAAAAAAAGTCAATTTGTGTTGTTTTACCAACGTAGTGTATTTATTTTGACAGAGACTGTATGCAAACTGTACATTTCCTGTGAAAATGGAAGTGTATTTTGAAAACAGACAATTCATCTAACAGGCATAAGTTGACACAGTGTCCCAGAATGTCAACCAACGCACCCAGGGTACCTTGCACGTCATATATCGACATGAAAAGTCCATGACCAAATGTCGATATATGACGAGGGCAGTGTGAAAATGTGTTGCTAAATCCCCCTAATTCTTACACACAGCTCTTTTAATTTGAAATCACCGGGTTTTTCTGCCGCCTCGCATACAATGATATGATGCTAAAACAACAAGAACACATGATCAAACAAACAGTAAATATAGCATTAACAGAAACATGAAGACATATAGTGACTCACACTGAAACATAGGGCAGCGATAAAGAGGATAAAAGTCAAAAGAAATCAATTTATTGTGGTGAGAGATGTTCCAAAGTTTGATTATACTGTACATGATTGTGCTCCTTGATTATTCACATGGTTAAATACATGGTTGGTTGACATTTCTGAGCCTATGTGCAGTGCTGACATAAATCCTCCCTACTCTATTAAGCTTTTTTCATAAACCATACAACAGGCACTATCAGAATTAATGCACAACCACAAACAATGGCAGTAATAATAATGTTCTTCTTGATGTTGCTTGAACTCTTCCAAGTATTTTCTGTTGGTAAAGTTAGAGATAAGTTATTTTCCTTACTTGAAGCGCTTGAAATAAAATGCATTAAAAAAACAAAGAGGTTTGTACCTCTCGTCATCTCACCGTCTTCTTTTTTTGTGTCCTTTTCTCCGGACTTTTCCCCTGAGGCTTTAAAGCAGAGGAAACCCAGTATATTGGTTAAATATCTGCTAATATCACCAGACTAGACATGTTTCTTGATGCATGTTTGTGATCTTACCTCTGTACATGAGCAGATACGCAGTGCTGGAACTGTTGAACAATCGTTTTGGGGTGATTGTTCACATAGAACAACAAAAAGTTAGAGATTAATGAACATGCCCAGATAAATAACAGAATGCAGCAGCTGACCGAACGATCTCACCACAAGGTCCATTCAGCACTGTAGCGGATTGGAAGATTTCAAACGTATCACATGATCTTCTCTGCATTTTTAAGGACTACTCGTTCATGACAATTTAAGAAAAGTCCTTTAAGTGGTCCAAATAATGGAAAAATGCAACTTCAGTTCCCAGAACTCTTTGTTGTCCCCAATTTGCAGACGTTCGACTGCTGCTGTTCTTCAAGTTTGCCGCTAACTGCTATCAGCTGTTTTTAAAATCTCCTGGCAATGGGTCACACACACAACATGTCAAAATGTCACATTTGCGCCACCCATGTTCTCGACCTGCCGGCTGTCCCTTTTATACAGACATCATTTTAGCGTTGTTACTACCTCTGGCTTAAAGGAGAGACAACATTGTCCCCCCATTCCATGATCATACCTTTTTATACAGATCAGCGGGGCATAACGGCATGAAATTTGCCATGAGTTTCCCATGGTCCTCCTTTTTTCTTACAGCTTTGTGTGAAACTCTGCCCACACAGTCACCATTGGTCACCGTAGGATGTTTAACAGCAACTAAAAGGACCTTGTGGTGAGATTTTGTCCACTGTGTCAGAGTTAATATAGTAGAATTAATCAAACATACTTGGAAGTCCATGGTTGCTCTCCAACCTGCACCATTCAACAAAACAAGGGTTTTTTAGGCTTTATTTTTTTTGTAAGTTTTGAATATATGCCATGTAAAGTAATGTGTTGAATTCTCACCTGGCTGACGTGATCGTCATTAAACTCATACCAGGTTTTGTCCTCGTTGGACAGGATGGTGGCTGTGTAATGTCCTCCTCTGAGACCCCCCATGTGATTCACCATCCCATACAGTTCGTACTTGTTGTTCTGCAATGGAAAAACATGGTCAGCTACATGAAAAGATTTTAAAACTAAACATGACATATTTAAAGTTACTTCCCCTTGCCTTTCTCTGTAACGTTCGTGGCACGTCCACACAGCGGTTCGTCTTGAAATATGACATGGTGCTGTAGTCAAAGTCAAACCTCTTGAGGAGTAGAATCAAAATCTGAGGATATGTCACCATCTCACATCCCTAAATAACACAAGAAACATTATTACGTATTGCAAACACACACATACAAAATGTACATTTCATTCCAGTATAAATTTTGTCCAGGCTACAGTCAGTGTTTGAAAACTCACACAGGTTGCGTCTGTTTTCTTTTCACATTCGTTGCAGTACACCATGTTGTCTCCGCTGAATGATTTCAGCTGGAAAATCCTTTTAAAGCCATTTTCCTGTAAAAACACAAATGGTGTGATACATTCCAACTTGGATTACCAATCTCATATTATTGTAAAAACATTTCAGTCAGGAACACTTTTGCCAAAGAAAACTTTATTTCCATTTGCAGTATTATATTTGGCGGTATGGCTCTGTTCTGGGGCCCCTCTGCCTTTCCTCAGGCCTACGCAGAAAGCCCCTTCCACTCGTCTACATGGAAAGCCATAAGGCAGAGAGAGCACACTTGTCTGCCCTTCCACATGCAAATGAGGAAAGCCTGAAGCAGAGAGAGAGCAAACCTCCCTGACCTTCCATATGTCTACATGGAAAGCCTAAGGCAGGGAGAGCAGCAGCGAAGACCCCCCGGGACCAGAACAGAGCAGCATCGATGACAAACAGAGATGACACTGATGAGTCAGACACAGCATGAAAAGGAGGAGCTGGGGTGGAGGTGGGTTGCAGAGCAGCTTGCAGAGGAAGCAGCAACAGTAGGCAGGCCAGAGAAGTTTGAATAGGGCGTCCTGAATTAGTTTTACCAATTGGTTGCATAGAAAGGAATCATGTGATCTATCAGCTGACTCCCTTCCATCAATCAGCTGCTCCATCAGTTGACTGGGCTGTTTGAGATCAGCTGATGTAGCTGGGATGTGAGCTGAGCTTGATATTGTGTCCTGCCTGAACTAATGCTATGCTCAATTACATTATCATTTCTTTCTTTCTTTATTTATTCAGTCCTTCACTGGCAGTTGGCTTCAGTCAGACATTTTGTTGCTATAGACCCTTTTACTGTTAGTTAACAGTATAATGTTTTTGTTGGATTGTACTGTACTGTAAGGAGGGTACTGTACTGTACCCCCCTTTACCACTCCAACCTTATTTTAATAACTATTTACAGGAGAACAAGGGGATGCTTACCACGCTGTAGGTTGTATCATCATGGGTATCTTTCAGTGACAGAGGAAGAGTCCAGAATGGATTCGTCTCTTCGTTGATGTTGTGGCCATCAGAGCACTTTGTTGTGTACGCTAGCTGTCCTTCGAAAACCTTGAGATAGAATAGCACTTATAACAGAGCTCTCTGATTAGTTGGCTGGAATATTCTGTTATGGGTTTAACAAGTGCTCACCTCAGAGGCCTGTGGGCTGACCTCATGTAAAATCAGCTCAAGGCATTCAACAGCATCACGTTGTTCATGAACTGAAAACGTATAAATTAGAATCCAGTATATAAGTCAAGCAAAGCATCTTAGTGAATCTACAGCTGTTGAGTGACTTCCCCTCCTGTTGGTCTTTAATATTTTTTTGTTTTTCACTGCTCAACTTACCATTTTCAATGGCCAAAATCTCCGTGATCTTTTCTGTTCCACATGTTGCTTTTTTCAGTTCTTCAAAGAGGTTTCTCAGCTCTTCATCTGTGATCTGTGATTTTGGATCCAACCTTAAGGAAGAGGAGAGTTTAGTTACTGTCACCTTTAACCTTTGCATCATTGAGTGCTGTCTAAAAAAGAAGATGGTCCAGCTTGATCTTTTGATTGCAATATTTGGTGTCTGAGGTCTTGTAACAAGAGCTAGATGTAAAACTTTGGACACTACCAGCAGATATATTAATGTTCAGGTAAAAGCGTCATGGTTCTCACACATGATAGACTTTTGTGAACGTGGCACTGTGGTAATCAAGTCTGGCTCAAGTTGTGATCTTTGCTTTCTCTGTTGGACGGATTATCAATAAAACAATGTCTCCTGTTATTACCTGACATAACAGTCTTCCTGTTTCTATTTTCTACAGATGAAAGTTTCAAACCTGTCATGGATCTCTGTTGTCATGAAGAGAACTTGCAGGACACTGTTGAGGTAGCATGTGGCGCCCTGATTGTACAGACCATGAGGAAGTCTCTGTGGCCGAATTACTTTAGAAGAAAGAAAAACAGTGTCATCACACCATCACCACTAACTTTTAGATCTGCAACAACTGTAAGCAGTGCAGCACACCTGGGCAGATCTATCCATCCATCCATCCATCCATCCATCCATCCAGCCATTTTGTTTTCTCTCCACCAAGGGGCCTGCAAAATACTTTCTACCTTTTAGTTTCTTCTCCTCTGCTGCTCCTGCTTCCACATCATCCAGGGCTCGTTTTCTGAAGCTGAACATCTTTCCTGTTTAATCTCCCCCTGAAGACAAGAAAGTCTTATTCTGTCTCACATTATCAGGGCAAACAATTCAATCCCACGTCAGTCTAAACTTAAGAAAGCACCTTGTATATTTGATAAAGAAGAAAAGAAAATGTAGTGTTACCCTGTGAAGTTTTCTTCTTGCCTTTTGCAGACGAGACTGATCATGGATCACTGCTTCTGTCCCAGGAAAAAATTAAAAAAAGTTAAACTTCCATTTGCACTTGATTCATGTACAAACAGTGTAATCATTAGGCAGGGGAGTAGCATCAAATTCTGGGCCCTATGCATAAGCAGTTGCTGTGGACCTCCTTCCATTCCTCTCTTGATCCATGTCTCTCTCATACATTTCTGAAATGTTTGTTTTACAGAATCAGTTTGCTTTCCTGTCTTTCTTTTCATTTTTGGAACCCTGGTTTCCCTTTCTTAGGAGCCTGGTCTCACTTGGAAGTCGTCGAAATCTGATGCTTGGGCAGTGACTTGCAGCGTCAGAAACCAACAAAAAAAAAGGCATCCTTTAACGTCAGTATGATACGCGGCCGCTTGCCATTATAGTTTAACAGTACCCGGCGACATCGCGGGGAAATGTGGCGGGACATGAACGGACGTTAAGGCAGCGAAAGTCCGACTGGGTTGGTGGATGGATCCAACAAACACCGACTTTCACCCAGGAGAGAGGTGTTTGTGTCCTGTAAGATTATAAAGCCAAACCCTGTTCTTTTTTCCTAAACCTAACCACGTTTTTGTTGCCCGAACACACGTTAGTTGCTGAAGAAAAAAACATCAATTTGCGGTGTCGTACCAACGTAGGAAATGTATTTTGAAATAAGGCAATGCATGTAACAGGCAGAACTTGACACAGCGACCCAGAATGTCACCAAGCAACACACCCAGGGTACCTTGCATGTCGTATGTGGATGTGGCAAGTCCATGACTGCAATGCAAAGCCACACTAAAGGTATTATAGCAGGGACACTCAACTTGTGGGCCTTGGGCTAAATCTGACCCACAATAGGGTGCCGGGTGGCCCACCAACTCGAGCCCCGTCTCACTCCGAAGTCGTCGAAATCCAGCGCTTGGGCAGTGAGGTGCGGCTTCAGAAACCAACGAAAAAAGGCGTCCTTAATGTCAGCATCATGCACGGGCGCACAAGGACGAAAGTTAAGGTGGCGAAAGCCCAAGTGGGGTGGGCGGGAGTGGTGGTGGATGGGTCCAACAAACCATGACCTTCACCCAAGAAAGCAGTGTTTGCGTCCCATAGATTTTTTCCTGAATCTAACCACTTGCTTTTGTTGCCTTAACCTAACCATATTTTTGTTGCCTGAACCCAACATTTGTTGCATTTGTTGTTGAAGGAAAAAAATGTCACTTTGTGGTGTTGTACCATTACCGTGGCATTACCGTTCAGTGTTAGTACATCAGAAATAGCACGCTTTAAGCACACTGTAAGATCTGACAAATTGATGTTACTTTGAAAGAATCAAGGAAACTGACGGCCTGACAAGTCGACAGATGAGGTCATGCAACAAGTTGTTTCTTTGTTCCCATCTAATGATACAATTACTTTCTAATCACAGACAGAATATTTAAACCACATCCTTGTTCTGATTTATTGTGCCGAGAGAATGTCATCCATCTACGCCCAGGTGCTCACAGCCTCTCCCACTGACCAAAATACTTTCTGTTTCACTTCTCTGTGTTACTTTTGTAGCAGCTGCTCATTGTTCAAGACAGTAAACAAGGCATGCTTACAGGGGCAAAATCAGACGCTGCTCCACCATGCAAATGCCAGTAATGTGACAAACATTGTCGCTCGACTCATCAGTTTATAATGAAAGCATTCACTTGGCAAACTACAGTGTCTCAACATCATCTTCTTAAGGAGGAGTTGAAGGAAAACCCCAGAATGACGGCATTAAGGAAGCAGTGGTTCTGTGTGTCGGGTCTAATGAATGCACAGGTAAAAGAACAAAATTTCCCTCAGCCCAAACAGGTTTTCAGTTATTTTGGTTTGTGTCATCTTATGCCACAATTATGCAGTAAATTCAACACTTATTATCTTTAGGCAGAAACATATAAAAATCAGTTTCAGTGTTGCAAATTGTTGTCTGTGCCTCCAGTTTTAGTAGATTTTACCAGGTTTTTATGGCATGATTTGTGTTTCTGACAAACACATCTTAAAGTCTTAATAGGCCTGTTTCCTATCACACGGCGTGCACCCTCGTCTCCTACAGGATGTCTCTTTCTTCCTCATCATCCACCTCCTTCACTGTCACATCTATCTGCATCCCTTTTCATTACATCTCTTGTTCAAACCTGAGGACTGCACGACCTTAAAATTAAGAAGGCCTCGCAACCCCTCCATAAAGTTTTGGTGACCTCTAACGGAGGTCGGGACCCAGGTTAGGAGTCAGTGGTCCAACTAATGGTGAGATGTCAATGCTGCAATGCAAAGCCACACTAAAGACATTAAAGCAAGGACACTCAACTTGTGGGCTGTGGGCTGAATCTGGCCCACAATAGGGTGCTGGGTGGCCCATCGAACGAACATGGTCTCACTCCAAAGTTGTAGGAATCCGGCGCTTGGGCAATTTGTAGTGTAAGAAACCAACGAAAAAAGGCACCCTTTAATATTGGCAAGATGCTTGCCGGTATAGTTTTACGGCGCCCGGCGGTGCCAGGGGGGAAATGCAGCGGGACCACGAGGGAAGTTAAGGCAGCGAAAGTCCAAGTGGGGCAGGTGGGAGGGTTGATGGATGGGTCCAACAAACCACGACTTTCACCCCAAAAAGCAGTATTCACATCCCGTAAGATACTCAAGCCGAATCCTGTTCTTTTTTCCTGAATCTAACCACGTGCTTTTGTTATTGAAGGAAAAAAAACATCAATATGTGGTGTTGTACCGACGTAGTGTGTTTATTTTGAAAGAGACTGTATGTAAACAGTAAATTTCCCCTGAAAACATAAGTGTATCTTGAAAGAAGACAATACATGTAACAGGCAGAACTTGAAAAAGTGTCCCAAAATGTCAACAACCAACGCACCCAGGGTACCTTGCACTTTGTTTCTGGACGCGGCAAGTCTATGACCAAGCACGTCAATATGTTACGAGGACGGAGTGAGTTTTCTTAATCAAAAAAGTGCCGGATGGGAGAATCCTCCTGACCCCCCAACACAGGTCTGGACTAAGCCCTGAATGACAGAAAAACCTAGGAACGTCACAACCTGCAACCGGATTTCCCTCTTGGCAACTAAGGACAGTGACTGTTGAGCGGTTGCAAACAAGCAATTCATTTATTATATGTAATGTTTGTTCATTAACTGGCCCCTGGCCTCCTGTCATTTTGCGAAAGTGGCCCCCGGGAAAAGGAAGTTGGGAATCCCTGGTTTGTGGCATGCAGCCTGGTCCAGGAGGGGGCGCTATCTAGCCAATTAATCATACTCACTCCTCAGATGTATTCAACAGGTGCCACCGCAGGAAACATTTAGATATTCAACAGAAAATTCAGCATCAAAAACAACTAAATGATTGTCCCAACAAGAAGTAATGCAGTTAAACAGAAGCAAAACAGTGTCGAGTTAGTTTTTTAATTTGATTTTTAATGTTAGATTTGATTATAATTTCGTTAATGTTTCCGTGCTCGTGCCACTTTAACATACGAGTCCTTCCTGTGTTTATAATATCATTTTTTATACATTTGGTTGTCGGTTGGATCTCTGTCTGAATTAGTTTTCCTTTAATCTCCGTGCTTTCTTTAACCTCATCAGACCCTCTACTGTCCGTGAACTACATATTCCACAGTAGCCTTAGTTGTTCTTCACATAGCTGCTGCCTGCATCATTTGGACAAGCACTGACAGTAGTGTCGCAAAGGAATCAGTCTCAGAAGTTAATATTATCACAGAAAATCTGCAACAACAAAAGATGCAAAACTTAATAAGTCAAACACAGCGCACAAATATTAGAGAGAAATCTGGATAATACTCACAGACAGCTGCCATCCCATAATGACACCAGTAAGGCTGAGTGGAGGATGTGGCTTCCTCTCATTGTCTCAGCCTACGTCACGTTACGAGCCTCGCCAATAACTTGACGGAATATTAAGGTGGTTTATTTTAAGGAAGGCGCAAGGCAGCACTGCAATTTCTTTTATTTTATTTTCAATAGAATCATCACTGCATCTGTATATGACAAAAAATACCAAAGAAAACAATACATTATGCATTTAATTTAATCATTTTATAGTTCATAATTTAACTTGTTAAGTTTAAGTTGTTGCAGGGCCCACTCTCTGTAAGGGCCCCCATCTCAAAGGCCCCAGTGCAACCACACTGCCTGCACTGTCTATATTTATGCCCTGGCTACATGTATAGCTGCAACTACATCCTTGATTTGATTTCCAACCACTGATATTATCAGTATTAGAAATAGCCTTGTTCTTGTCTTTCCTACCTGCTGACAGAGTGTAACTACAATTAGTCGCAGTTTCTCCTGCTCATCCTTTCTCTTTCAGTTCAGTTTTTCTCACGGAAACACATTGTCAATACATTCGGTAATAATTCATTTCACATGAAGAGGTGACTTTTTTTTTTAGCAGCTACTAATTATAGAATTAATAATCAGGGTGTTCACTGTGGATCTGGCACCTGCCTGTAACACATCCTGTGATTAACACAATGAGAGCAGTCACTTGGCCCTGGTTGCAGTCGTTATTTTAAGTCCAGTGAATTAACCGGTGAAATAACAAAACTTTCCACAGTCCAAACATGTTTTCGGTACTTTTCTGTTGGAGAGACTCCATCCAGTTGGCACACGACCAACCTTCAGCGTTTAAATGTGGTTGAAATGATGTCAGTTTTTGTTTCAACATTGAAACAACATTGAAACCATGTTTAATTCAAACCACATAGCGAGCTTGATTCCATTTCTTTCTTTTTTTAGCATACTAAATTGTAAAGATAGGTCTAGATAGCCTAATTATT